TAACCTAACAAATCTTGCAAGTGAAATGATACCGTAGTACTTCTTCATGTTCTTCTCCATTCTTTATTGTAGATAGGGATCCACTTAGGCTTATAGGCCCATTGTGTTATAGTGAGGTTCAATCACAAAGAAATTTACTAAAGTAATACAAATTTTTTCATAAAATATAGAAGAGAAATAAGGAAAATAATGTGAATGATTTTCTAGTAATAAAATATTTAATTTATTTAATATTTACACTCTTTGTATTTTTGTTATTCTTTTTTTTTTTTTGTAATCCGATATTTTTGTCTAAATAACCACAAAACAACTAAAATAATAATATAAACAACCCAAAACCATATTTGTGTTTAAATGTATCAAATTACTAAAAATGAATATAACTATAAAATATTATATAATTAATGCAATTAGCACACACAAAGCTACATTCAAAATAATGAATAAAAGAAATTAATCTCAAAAATAATAATACAATTTCAATAATTTACATTTACGTATATCAAATGTCAAAAAATTTGACAGCCGAATAATATTATTTAATCTGTATGTCCATGTACAGCCTCTCCAATTTCGGAAAAATAAATTTTACCATAAACCAATTTCAATGTAATTAGAAGTGCTCATTACCGAGGTAAAACAATGCATTTTCGTTGTAATTTACTCGTTGCCACATTATCAATGCATTGACAGTTGTTTACATTGTACATTACTAATTTAATTTAATTGCAATGAATCCCGTTTACATGCGGATGAAGACACATCCTACAACCAAAAATTATATATATAATCCAACACCGATTTGCAATTAACGAATGAATTCTGCAAACTAAACCAAAAATCATGAATTTTTACATTTCAAACAGAAACAGAAACAGCAATTTTTGGAATGTATTAAAATTACACAATATTAACATAGATAGTATGTGCTTTACACAAGCGCTTTTATTGTTAAAATTATTTAAAACTTTTTTTTTCAATGTTGGATATTGCATAAATTTGCATTGTCAAATATAATGATATGTTAAAGAAAATAAATTAAAAATAAAAATTTTAATATAAATTGGCAAACATAAATTGTATTCTTTCAAATTTATTTTTTGTTACTTGATTTTCTCATTTTGAACTCATTTCAATATAATTAATAACAAAATTCAAAAATCAAATTTTGTAAAATTAGTTGATATATAATTTGTATTTTTGAAAAACACACGCGATTTTTGGTCAATAGATGGTGTTTGTACCCATTTATCCTACTCTTTAATTAGAGAAAAAAGATAGAAGATCGATGACCCATCACAAACAACTTCTAAACTTAATCAACGGAAAACAGAGTATTGAAAAGAATTATTCATTGAAATCTGCTTCTCTATTCTAATAATCGAGTAGTTAATCATACCCTATTCTAGTGATCCCAACTCGACTTCTTGAACGAAACAATCAAGGAAAACTGACCAGAATGGGCATATACAAAAAGAATAGTGCTCCATCATGACAATGCTACCATATACACTTATCTGATGACACCGAATACGTTTTTGAGTCCTAGTTGTGAAATTTTGATACATCCTCCAGTGCCTGGACTTTGCACAATCTGACTACCGTATGTTTCGGTTTCAACAAAATCATCTAAATATTAAAATCTTAGTCAATCGGTTTTTCCGCTGCAAATCAGTTGGTCATCGTAGCAGGTTGATGCATTTTGGTAATAGAAAATTCTTTTCCTGTTTTTCACCGATAAATTACAAAAGTCATAAAGCCAAGGAATTATGAAACTACCCGTAAAATGGCAAAAGGTCGGAACTAATAATGACCAATGTAAGTTAATTAATTAGTTAGTTGAGGTGCAGGGTGGACCAAATCAGCCTCAATTAGCTAAGAAAGCCGTTTTGAATTCACAAATCCTCATAATAATTGGTATTAAAGAGCTAGAAAGCTAGAAAGACTTATGAAGACTAGAATCAGGCCAATGGTAATGTTAGATATATGATCGAGTGTTTTAAAAAAGGCGGACCACAGAATCAATGTAAACTTAATTAAAATTTGTTTTAAAAAAGAAATTCTTGTTCAAAAACGTACCGAAAAACCTCAGATACTCACCAGTATCAACCAATATTTTATTGAACATTCCGATAACATTGAATCAACAGTTAACAGAGGATATTCCTGTAAAAGAAATTCAAAGAGATTAAATTTGTTTCATTCTTCTTTATTGGAGAATATTGAGTCATAACGAACTTTCTCCAAGTGTCACGAGGTTTTAATTTTTTCAAAGGATTCTCCGCTTGCCTGAATTTCTTTCTCTAGAGTTCACTTCCACGTATGATTGGACCTACCAGATTTTTAGATTCCTTGAGGATTTCACAATAATGCTCTGTTTGTTTTAATTAGTTTATATTTCCAATATATTATTATATATGAAATAAAGGATTTAATCAATAATTTCAACATCAATTCAACAGTCATCAATTGGAGATAACTCATAGACCACGTCTTATATAGACAGATGATGCTTTCTAAACTAAACGGGACTCGTAATGAATAAAAACAATTTATTTGTAAAACTAATTTATTCATAATAATCTTCTTCAGAGTTTGTATCGCAATCCGCACAATTTTAAAATACGACGAAGGAATGTTTTATATCGTGGGTTGCAATGTCCTTCAGGATCTTAAAGGCCCTTCGGTTGACTTATGTGTCATTATAGAATATGCTCGCAAAATACGTTTATTTTATCGGTAAATGGATTTATTTAAAAAATTTAAATATCTTTAACTTATACAGATACTTTTCAAAATATCTACTTCATAATTACTTCACAATTTTTGAATATTAAAAACATTTATTTAAAAATCAATCTCTGCAAATGTAATATTGTATTTTTTACATATGATTAATTTTTTTATAATATAAAATAGAATATTTTCACTAAAATCTCGTTTATGACAAACACAACATTGTCGCAGTATCTGAAGTCGATTTATAATGATAGTTGTTCTTAGTATTAAAAACTCAATAAACCTTTCATGTACTTAAGCACTACTTATGAATAATTACTAATAAATACTTATAAATAGGTATTATTGATTTTCTTCCATTAGTACGAATTAAGTATTTAATGCATTATGAAATATAACTTTCGTAATATCTTTACAAACTCCAAATAAATTTGAATTAATATTTTTCACAATGAATGAGCAACTCATTCATGCTTAGCTTAAGTGTTTCGAGTTTAAGCCTCCGTAATAACTTAAATTATATACCACAATAAACACATTAAGCACACGCATATTAAGTAATGAAATTGTTGTATTCATATAATGTGTTTATTTATTTTAAGAAAAAAATTGAAACAAAAAAGAGTAATTATATAGGGTTATCCATATCATGGTCTTCATTTGTCATATGCACTATTTTACTGACATGTGCCAGGCAAAACTGTCATCCAAAGCATCATATGTTTAGCCAATTTAAAATATGAATCGTTTAACAACCGCTGAATATGCTGAAGCTTACTACAGAAGTGACTTCATCAGAACACTTAAGCATGACTGGTCCATTTTAAAACGCTTGAGATGTAGTAAAAGAATTGTCTTGCTTTTATCGGTCATAACATCTTCAATAGAACTTAACATTGCTATAGTAAAGAAAATGAAGAAGAACTTAATCAAAAACAATTGAACTTGATTGGTACAGTATATTTAGAAGCCGTCGAAATGTGATGCAAAACTTATCTGGCTTTGAACGGCCACCAATGTCTTTAACCGAACTCAACATAGTTCAACTAAAGAAAATGAGGCAGAAGCAGAATTTTTGTATATCACGTATAAATTCCCTTAATTTTAAATGATTGTTTCAGTCTGTAATAATTTCTCGCTCGACTAGTATGAAGAACCAGAATTGTCTTCAAGAAATCGTTAGCATAAAGGTCGGTTAAGACATGACAGAATGGGTCAATTCTGACCCCGCACCAGAGAGTTGCGAGCTTGACATACTACCAGTCAACAAGCTTCGGTATGGATTTTGAGTTCAATATGTTGAAATGTTAGATAAAAAAAGTTTTCAAGCTAATTCAGAAATATTCAAGCATATTCAACCCATTTTTCGGTTTCCAGAAATACACATTAAATTTATTAACATAAATAAATAATTTATAACGAAATGTATACGTGTTAGTCTAATGAAGTCTGCATAGAACTAACTTTATTTATCATATATAAAATTACAAAATATAATTTAACCAACAATTCAATAGAGAGCGAGAGAAATTTATTGTTTGTTATTTTTGTAAATAATAAATAATAATATACTTAATATAAACAATACATAATTCATGATAATATTTAATTTAAATACTATTTAAATACATAACATATAAATTACATGTTCTTGAGTAATTAGAACAAATCACTTTTCCTTTTTTTTATTTAAACTCTCAAACTGGCACAGCTCTTTTTAGAAAACACATTGATATTCTAGAATTTCGAGACTCGCTCAGTGAATCCAGATATGATATATGACCGCCACAAATTTATAACTTAGCAGTCGAACTCTAAAGGATATTTTTCATTAGTCTGGATAAATACACAATGGCTTCGAAGCAGTCACTTGCAAGTAAACATCTAAATTTAATAGACCAACTGAGGTAGTACGTAGGGATTAAGCAAAAAAAAAAGAAATTATACACACGTGTATCGATTTAAATTAGTGTAAATTGCGGGAATCGTGTGTCACCGCTCGTTCGTTAAAAATATAATAATATGCACAATTAACGGAAATCAAGGCGGAAATGCATTTTACTTAATTAACAATGACCACAAATTAATAAGTATTCGTAACCGTAAATGATGAAATTATTTTTAAATTGAAAATGAAATTGAATATAAAATCAATAAAAATCTTTCGCAATTGCACATTTGCAAAATTTAATGCATATTAAACACAATAAAATATAATTCATTCAAAATACAATATATAAATTTTACTATTTATTTTGAGAGATGCATTTAAATTTAAATTTAAAATACTTTCACGTATTATTAATATTTTTACAAGTGATTATAAATCGTGCTCAGGAACCAAGACGTGATGAAACGGTAAGACTCGGAATGATATCGATTGTCCCAAATGATAGCTAATATAATATTCTTTTATTTTTATTTATACATTTTTTTTTTGTTGTTTTTTTGTCATAGTTGGTAACTCAAAAAGCGCTGTTTTCCATGATGATATTCCCACTGTCATTTGTGCAATTTAGCCAATGGCCAATATTGATTTCAATCTTAATTAACTTTGACACATTTGCGAGTTACTTTTTCCTCAACCTTTTTTGTTTGTGCCGTGGCTACTTTCTGCTATTTTCTGTTACTTTCTGTTACTTTTATTAAAAATGAACAAAGAAATTCTAGGTTATTTTTATTTTATGTATATATATACTTTCTTTTTTGTATTTGCAGTATCCTCCTCCTGCAGTTATCAAATCCTTTCAAATCATTCATGATACTTGTGTAGAAAAAACTGGTGTGGAAGAAGGTAACTTACTCGTCTATTTCTGTTTTTTATTTTTTTCGATATTTTTGCACTCTTTTCAGATACTTTTTTATATTTAAACTACACTAAAGTGATACATTTTTGATTTCCTTTTTATTTTTCATAAAAATTTTTGTTTTGCTGTCATATTTTATTGCTTCTCGTTTATTGTGCATGTAATTTTTATTGCTTTTAGGAACTTTTTGGTTTCTTGAACTTTTTGATTCATTTTTTGCCCTTGAGATAGTAAACGGAATGGATGAGTAATAAGTTTGATTTCTTTTGTTATCAGTTTTTAATTTGTATAAAAACTTCCTTTTGTATTCTGAATTTTACATTTTTATTTTTGCATTTCATATTCCAAAAAGGATATTTGCTAGAATTGCACAGGTAAAACAAGCACAGCGAGCGAAAGCAAATATTGACAAGAAAATGAAAATTAGAGAAAGAAACAGGGTTTGCTTATTTAGGCTATAATGTTTTTTTGTAAATATATATTTTTTTTTAATTTTTAAATTATAGTCCCTTCAAGAATTTTAATAAATTAGTATCATTTTTATAAACTGCTTACTCTAGCATTGCTCTAAATAGAAAAATATAATTTCTTCATTGTATTCATACTAAAAGGTATAAGCTAAGAAACTTCAATATGGACTTTAATTTACTAATGTATATATATTATAGGACTAAGCATTTTTTCAAAAGAACTCTTCAATAACTTAACACAGAGCAACTCATAGGTTGCCTTAAATAAATACGCCTAAGTGTATGCTTCACATTTAAACCAATTTGTAAAAATGCTCACCACAAAGAAAAATTCATTGCAAACTCAGTTTTCATTTAATATTAAAATAAAAAAACACAAAATTTATATATATATATATATTTAAATGATAAATATAAAATATACATAAACTTGAAATTGTTTTTAGTCTACAAATATTTGTTTTTTTTCGACTTAAAAATATTTTAACAACACTTAGCTTCAATTAAGGCCTTCAGTGTTGGTGAAATACACGAGGATCCAGCGCTTAAATGTTACATGAATTGTTTCTTTCATGAGGTTGGCATTGTTGATGATAACGGTGAAGTACATTATGAGAAATTCAAACGATTTGTGCCAGCTGAGATCAAGGATATTGTACAACACATAATTGAAGGTTGTGAGGCACATGTGCCTGTAGGCGCCACGCAATGTGAAAGAGCTTGGTCATGGCATGTATGCTGGAAGGAAATAGACCCAAGAGTAAGTAAAAATTAAGATTGTTTACCCAACAGCTTTCAATAATATTTTTACAAATCTCTTACTCTTTCACAGCACTACTTTTTAGTGTAATTGACATGTTAAGTTATTAAAGAAGAAAACATTATATGTGGAACAAAAAAGGATTACAAAATATAAGAGGAGCATGTAAACATTTTGCACAAAACTATTGTACAACATAACTTTCATATATATATATTAGTTGTTTAATGTAATCTAAAAAGGAGAAAATAAAGGATACCATTGGCTTGTTTTCATAACAGTCAGCAACATATGACGCATACTATATGAGTGTAGTAACATTAGTTTGATTAGCCACACAGCAGCTTTTAAAAAGCCTTGTAGTTATTTAAATATTGTATATAAACCTTTTAAAGGCCTCGAAAGCCCTTAAAATCCCTTAACGGAAAACATAATTTCATTGTCAATATGGCATTTCGGCAACCGCATGTTTACGTTTAAATTACAATTAAATTGCAATTATGCTTTTGTGGTAAGTGCCATTTAGAAATGTGCCCAACACTTGTTTTGGCCCAAAAGTGCCGAAAATTATTGAAATGCCCACGCTTTAATATCCAGGAAAATTTCTTAATCTACAATTCAAACAAAAAGTTTTGTTTGTTACTTTACGTTTTATAATTTGTTGTAATTTTCTTAAAAGTGCGGTTTTAAAAAATTATACTCAAGTATTTATGTTATATAATTTAAATACTTAAGCATTTGCACCAAACTTATTTTCAAATTAGCATTTGCCTCTTTTGCCGCATAATCCTTTTGGCAAACTCCACTGGAATCCTGTGTGTTAATAAACATTTTCTCAACACACACACACACACACACACACAGAGAGAGAAACCGAAACAATAATAGCACTTGTGACTTTTTATTTGCCGGAGGACTTTTATAAATAATTTTTGAAATTTCCAATTTGTTGTGTCTCAATTTCAGTTCAGGACCCTATAACCAGTATTTCTTATAATATTCCATAAAATGAATATATAATATGTTAAAACCATAATAATTAAAAGTTATAAGTCCTTTAACAAGGAATCTGTTTCGAATAGAAATGGCGTGTGGTACTAATCAGAAAATTTTCAAGTCCGAAAGAAACTTCGTTAATTAAATAAATTCTTAGCCTAACCATAAAGCTGTTTTGGATATCGCTATATACCCGATTTATTAATGGACAATGGAAAATGATAAAACTTTATTTGAACTTTAATTTACATGAATAACGCAATTTAGGTAAACGTAGCTTTGAGATCCATGGTTCAGTGTCGAAACTGGTTAATTTCCAGACACTTGCACTCACTCCCTTTTTTCTCCCTCTCTCTATTATTACCTTTCTCTGTGTCCCCCTAGCTCTACTTCTTTCTCACTATGTTTCTCTTGTTTCTCTCTCTTGCTCTATTTTCTCTTGATCTGTTTCTTTTTCGCTGCGTGTCCCTCTTGCTCTAGTTCTTTTTCCCTCTGTTTCTCTCTTATTCACGGTATCTAGGTCTCTGTTTCTCTCTCTCTCTCTCTCTCTGTACAATTTTTTGTTTCACCGTGTCTTCCTTGCTTTGTTTTTCTCTCACAATATTTTGCTCTCTCTCTCTCTCACTTTCTCTATCCTTCTCAGTTTGCATAAATATTATATTGTTTTGTCTTGGTTCTATTTTTATATTTATCATAACTCCTTTATATCTACTTTTACCTATAATTAGCAAAGTGTATATATTCTGATTTATACTTATTTTTTGATTTTACTTCTTATTTTCCTTTTTAATTTTTTATATATATTTTATTCACAATTAGTTCATTTACTATCAAGTTGGTCGATCCACCATTCCCAAAAAAGGATGATTTGTTGATTTTAATGACTTCAATACTGTTGAAGTCAAAGCTTGTTTTGTGTGCTAAGTTTAAGTTAGACTTCATAGAATTCAGTGCATCTTTTTTTGTGCATCTTCTTGATTAATATAAGTACGAAAATTTAGTAAATTTGATTTTCTATGAACTTAATATATGTTTAACATCAAACTCATCGAATATAATAGACCAAAGACCATACTCATCTAATAAGGTCTCAAGTGACTTTTTTCTTTTTTCGAAGCATAAAATATCATTAACATACACTCAGAAAAATATGCGCTAATCACATACTGGAACATTTTGTTAGAAAAACTTTAGCTCATGTGGTAAAGAAAATATGGAAATCAACATATGATATGATTTTAACCAACATAATGCGTCGAGTAAAAATCTTTGGACCTAAGATTTAGTTAAAATCGGACTAAATCAACCAAATTATTTTTCTGAGTGTACGAAAAGTTATAGTTTTGATTCGGAAGAAATTAAATACGGTACCTCGAACAGCCTATGAAATGTGGATGGAAGATTATGTCAGGCACTGACATAGTTATATTATACTTGTTTGAACCTACTATTAAGACGAAAAAATAAATTTTTAAAAAATCATTATTTTTTGTACATTTCATTTAATAGTTCCTCTATTTTTTAACTCAAAAGCGCTTATGTTCTAACTCCTACATATCGTTTATTGGACAAATAAAGTGCGATTAATAATTTAATTTAATTTTAGACTGGCATTTTTGCAAATATGGTAAATAAATTCATGCAATTTATCGTACTAGATGTTTAAATTATAACAATTAGTTTTAAATGTTTAATACACATTTTAAATAATATATTTATGGAAATATTTTACCATATATATGTACAACCACCTATTGTAGTTCCCTGACAGAGTCACTATAAACGTTTTTATATGAAGAAGTTCTGTTCTAAAATCCTCATTTCATATTTTGTGCATTGTATGTGCGCTTTTATTGTGAAAATTGTTTGGTGACAAATTTTCAGAATTACACAAATTATCTGCGTAGAGCATAAATACATTTATAACAATTGAAGTAATTTAAAGTTTATTAAAACGCTATTAGGCACAGCTTTTTATGGGCCTAAGCAAACAAATCTGAATTTTCAACTGATTTAGGCAACTGCATAGTTTATTTCATTTTAATTTAGCACTCATTTGCGTCGTCATTTGCTTTTTACAGCATTTTACAGTATTTTACAGTATTTTCAAATCCGGAATTATTTTTGTGAAAATGTGGCAACTTTGTTAATTAAAATTGTGTGCGCCATGTACTTGAGTGCTCGTACATTTTTGCCAATTTCAAATCAAAGACTTTTGATTAAATTCCACTGGCAGATGTTGCTAAAAATAAAAGCGCCATAATATGTAAAAAATAATTAAATATATGAAAAAAGAAATAATTAATAGCAGAATAAGCCTACTTTGAAGTCAATAAAAATTATAATTTTTAATTTAATATTTAACAAAAATTTAATAAAGCATTTGTGCTTCGAACGCAGTTGAATGGCTGCATTTTCAATAATTGGGTTGAGTACAAAAAGCAACAAAATTTTACGAATATTAAAATATAAAATTAAAAAATAATTACTTCAAATATTTTTATTAAATATTTAATAAAAAATATTGATTTAAAATTATTTTATTTTCTGCTTTTAGGAAAACATAAAACTTCAATGCTTAAAATATTAATTCACAACTAATAGGTTATGGAGTTCCACTCCAACGTTCTGAATAATGCGAATAATGCGAAGCTCTAGAAATTTTTAATTCAAAACTTTGATTGTATCTGAAAATAAATACACTATAGAAATTATTTCAAATGAATCTTTATTAAGAAGTTTAATAATTTAAGCTAAATACAAAATATGTAATTAGAGAAATACCTGCGACCCCATTTGACTAAATGAAAATTCTCTATTTAGCCTCTGGACATAAAAGTGCTTTAAAATATAATTAAAATAAATGTTTAAGTAGATTAACAAAACTTATTGTAAAAGAAATACTTACTTATGTAAAAAGTGAAAAAAAGAAATATTATCTTAAGAAATTAATTAATTTTCTTGTCATATTTATTCTTGGCAAAAATAAAATTTTCTTTACACAAAGTTTGAAGCTCAATCTTATTAAGTTAAAACTATTTACTCAATATTGCATATATGTACATTAAGAAATAATTATCACAACATCATCACAACCTTACTGATATAGAATCCACGAGAAGGACACAAAAACACTAGAAGGTGTATGGTTCGAAGTAACTTTCCTACATTGTTAAAACACAATTTCTTTGCTCAGATCAATATTTTTGTCGGAATCATCTTCCTGTCTTTCTTTAGATAAAACGATCAGTAACTAGTCAGACGTAATTGTTTACATTCAAAATTTGGAAGTTAATTTTCTACATGCTACATTAGTTTCTACTACTGTTTGTTTTCTCGAAACATATCCTCTCCCTTACCAGACAATTAGGTCAATTATATATGGCCAATAATTGTTTATATTGACAGTTTTGAGGTTCTTTTCTATCTCATAAAATCATCATTTCCCTTCTCAAAGTCGTACACTTTCAACAGCTTTTGCGAAACTTTTATTCCTTCTTTCAATGTTATCTTCCAGAAAATACGATCAGTAACAAGTTGCTAAAAATTGTTCACAAATACTCCAAAGGTTTTTTAGAAGTCCTCTGCCTAACTTTCTATATCATATCCCAGACACCACAGTCAGTAATCAGTTGGCAGTAGGTCTTCACAATCATAATTTGTAAGCCCAATGGAGATATATATCATCACTGGAAGAAGGGAGAAAACGTTAACACCAGTTTCATTATCCACTATCGAGGAATGGTTATTCTCAATGAACAACTAAACTATAATTGCTGGCTACTGTATTCATGCAATTGAGCTACAGTGCGAGTAGTCAGCTACTGTAGCTAGTGACTGCAGTTTAGTCTTTCGTTGGACATTAAATACTTACTAATAACACAGATAAAACGTTTGTAGAAAAGAATTTCTCCATGAGATTTAAATTCATTTCGGAAATGGTAAGTCTAACATAAGAATTTATATTTAGTATTTTATGTACTTTTAGAACAAATATGTTTCAAATAGAGAAGTGAGAATAGTGAGGAACTTTTCATATCCAAAAAAAATCATGTAAATACTTGGACTGACTATATACAGCTGGTTCGAATATTGTCAAATACTTATCAAAAGTGGTCCTTTGAAAAATCTATTGATTTATTTATCCGTACATAATATTCAGACTGCTGATGTCTTGAAATTAAACTCTGTCAAGTGAAACCGTAAGCCCGTGTGTTGATATATAAAGCCAACACAAATGAAGGTTATTAAATTTTAGAGTTCTACTAACCCTAACATGTAGCGCCGACTAGAAGT